CTTGTTGGGCAAGATTGACTACTCCAGGTCAGCGCTTGGCATTGGCACTTTTAGCTGATGCGAGAAGCTTAGAAAAGTCCGATGGTTCGAATTCATAACGTGCACAGAGCACACGGGTCGATCCGAAAATGTGTATAGTGCTGTGACAGTTGTACGATGTTTTGCGCAAAGCTGTTTGGTGGGATCACGTGTTGCTTGCGGTGCGACAGGGGCGCATTTAAATGCTGCGCGCCTGCTCAACACTCCAGAAATCGAGAGCTTGGGACACAACTTGGGGAAAAACGAGAAGTTGCGTGCCGCTTCCCTTACATGGATGAAGCATGCTAGCACTGCGCATGCCATAGCGTAATAATTGCTTCATGTCTTACCCTGCTCGCGTGCCTCCTCTCAAAGCTGGCCTCTCTTCGCTCCCGTGATTCCTTGCCGACACAGATATGGTGGCAAGTGCCAAGGATCCGAAGAAGGATATGGTGGCAAGTGCCAAGGATCCGAAGAAGTCTGTGAAAATACGCTCACAGAAGGACAAAGACACACGTGCTGCTGCAGGTCGCTATTCTCGTGCCACACAGAGGTCTTTGCCAGGCTCCCACCGCTGGCTCCTTCGCACGACTGCATCCTTTGAGGACATGTCACGCGCTAGCGCGGCCATGGAAGTGGAAGCAGACTCGGGCTTGGACGCCGTGCAGGGCATGGCCGCGGCAACAAATTGGTACCCTCACAATGCGGTGGTCCAACTTGAAGGGAAAGTGGACCGTACTGCAATGTCCGAGCTGGCCAATGATGTGTTGTACGTGCGAATGTGCGAGTTTGAGGCCCTTGCGTCAGCTGCAAAAGAGCAGGTGATACTCATTTTCGAAGAGCTGCACCGCAGGAAGGCTTTCCGTGAAGAAGTGGTAGAAGGCTAGTGCCGAAGGTGGCAGTGATGGCTCTCGTGTTGAGAAAAAAAAGAATCCAAAGCGCTGTCCCGCGTACACGAAAGTGCATTCCCGCACCGTCCGAAGTCCTGTGTGCGCAGGCAGCCACGCCAATCAACCGGCCGGGCTGCTC